CTCGAGCCTTTTATATCCGCTTATAGAGGGCGTACAATCTGCTACTTCGTGATGAAGTGCGGCCCTGAACCTGAATCCAGCGGGCAGGTCCTTCGGTGCTTTTCGCAGGTTGCTCAGCCTGCCCGGGATAGTTGTGCTTTCCCATTCCCCAGTCAGCGGCCGATCTGAGATACTGCTCACCACGTCCCCCACCCCTTCTTCACGGCTGGGTGTCTCTTCGCTGGACGAGCTGCTCGGCAACGCACCACGGTGGTCGTCACCGTTGTCGCTGGCGCTGGAACTGGCGCTGTTCTCAGACGCCGTTGTTTCCGGTACATCCTGCAACTCCGGCGGCACTATCATTGTGATAGGCTCCACTGACAAAACCCCCTCCTCTTCTCCCTCTCTGCCCTAGTTACCTCGTTGCTCTGTGAGTTCTCTCAATGAAACCATTTTTACCTGAAATGGATGTGAAGTCGATTCGGTGTGTTGTTCTTCAGGCTGGAGCGTTTCGCTTCAGAGAATTTTTGGGATAGTTTAAGCAAATGCAAAATTGAAAATGAAAAAGGGGAACGGTTACGCAGAGAAGGATAGTAGCGTTAATGGCCGTACGCGTGTTTCTGACGCGCCAACTAGTGTCCCACACGTGGCAGACGCTTAACGCCTCCCCTGCATAACGTGCGCCGACTTTAGCTGTCACATCCCTCGAATGCTGATCCAGCATTTATGACGGGGAAGGCAGAGAGATATGGGAAGCTCAACCGTATCTCTTCAGAGATTTGCTTAACTCAAAAATCCCCAAGATTCAGATCGTAACTGCTGAGGTGCACCCTACACGGTCATGTCAGCTCGCCATGGCGAGCACACTCACCAGGTCGTTACAAAGATGACATATTGCCCAGATCGGCTCGACCCTGCCAATTCGTTCACGAGTGTAGATCTTTCACTAGGATCCAGCTCGACACATATCGTGACGACGAGCACGTTTACCAGGTCCTTGCATGGACTGCAGTTCACACTAATAGGTGCATGACGTCGCCCTATTCGACAACGCTACTCGTGCGAGCTGGTAAAGTGACGGTCAAAAACATCAAATCACACTACATGTGAGGTCGCGTCGCCTCACTTCGTGATCATAGCTAGCCAAGTGTCACCTGGTCGCACTTCGATAATGCTCCAAGGTCAGGTCGCCTTTCGTCCGAGCTGAAAGGGCATTAAACACGTGACTTGTCCACGTGCGAGCTCGTCTGTTGCGAATCACTTCAGCTCGCCGTCATCACCAGCCCGCACCAATGCTGCTATAGATACCGGCTCGCCCACACGTTTTCAAGCTTGTGAGCTCGCCTTTTTCGTTTTACCTCTCGGCTCGGCCCTCGTCGAAGTCGACGGCCCCATCACTACATCCATCCCAGTTCGTCAACCGAACACTGGGGGGGAGTAATGTTGGGATAGGCCCAACACCCAAACAGGGCTGTGGGAAACAGGCCTAGGCTACCACCCATCAGCCTAAACTGAAGGAACATCAGTGCAAGCATACCCACGTGA